AAAAGAAAAAGTAAAAAAGAATAAAATAGGGCTACGTGGTTAAAATAGAACATTATCGGAGAATAACATTTAACTGCCATATTTATTATTTAACTTGCTTTGGGCAAAAGTATATCAATGAAAACTAAAGTCTGTAGATAACGAAATTCAAGTAAATTTATTAAAACAGATTGGATATTTTATAAGCCATATTATCCGCAACACACCAACACAAAGAGTATGCAGAATTTCTCAACAAGCGACAGATCGCAGATTCACCGCGTCACGTCTAAAGGTGCTTTTAACAAAATGCTGACTTCATCCCTGGGGACCAGTCAAAGCGAAAGAGCTTACAGTCGGGACAAGTGGTAGTCACTACAGACGAGAAAAGCGGAAAAGGAGTGAAAACGAGATACGGGTTTCAGGAGGGGATCGGAGGGAGGGTCTCATTCGTCACCGTGGAAATCTCGAAACGAGCGGCGCTGTTCTGACCTGACGGTACGTCACAGTCGACACCGGGGGCCGTATTTTCCCGCGGAAATGTCGAGCGCGAGATTGAGGGGGTGGTTCGCCGAGGGTGAGCGCTCGACGGAGGGACGAGGTGGGGTCCGCGGCACGGCAGGACCAATCCTGAGTTCACTAACCGTGGAAACGTTACTGCAACACGTCACGGGGGAGGCACCGAGCGTGCGTTCGCTGCAACGGGACGCTGCAAGACGTGGCGTGGATGAGAAATTGCAGAAATCTGCATTTTCGCCGCGCGTTCGGGCCTGTAATAACAGAGGACAGCGACCGGGAGAGGTGCGCGCGAACGGGTATATTATAAGGCATATCTTATAAAGTGAGCAGCAAGTCAACGTCGTTATCGTGGTCGTCGTTATCGCTGACGCTTTCGGTGCAGCGCGCCTCGACGCACGTTTATTGCTGTCTAGTTCCACGTGAGTGGAATTTCGAACTGGATAGAACTCGCGAACCGAATCTGCAGCGGTAGTTTCTCGAGTTTATTCAATCGCATTAATATAGTATTGACAGGTTCACGTTCATTATACAAATAATGTGTACTTTGGAATACATTATCTCGCTCGTGCATGTTCTCTTGCCGCGAGCGAGCGATCTTAATTAGCATGCGTTAACTAGACTTAATTGCTTAATAGTTGCGAGAATAGTTTTCCCCGTGAACGATAATGTTGAGCAATTGCTATCTAAATAAGTCGGTAGATGGTGTGACATGTAAATGCGACCACTCGCGCTACTTAACACGATGTTAAATTAATCCGGTGGGCGTGGCTAATTATTCAATCAGAGTCGCTTTTCCCTCGGAAAGATCTTATCTTCGTCGCGTCATATTAATCATCGTGTAATAACGTCGTAATTTCGCTCAATCCCGATCTTGAAAACTAGGAATTAGATATGGCCGGTTTTCTGAAAAGGCCACTGATACGTCGGGGATCTTAAATTATACACCAGTCAAAGATAAAACCTCGAAATTATAAGATTGTAGCTTCATTATCATGAAATTCGAATTATAGTATTTTTCCGCTTTGATTTGCTTCTCCCGGAAAAAATAGGATCTCTTAGATCTTTACGCTGTACAACTCTGGGGAAAAAAGATAGTTAGCAACCCTTTTTGGGGCCTCCACAGCGTAAATTTCCATAACGAACCAAGTTCGTTTTGTAACAATACGTTATTGTGATTTTGTGATGAAACGGTGATTAGATTTCGGTCAACTACAGTTCTGAAATGGAGCCTCCTGCAACTTCATCATACACTTACTCATCTCGCCGTACCCAGCGGAGCGAGTCGGACCATCTTGTTGTCACCCGACTAATTTCTAAATTTATCATCGTTATGGGCAGGGGCAGGAGGGCAATTTCAAGTTCGAGCGCGGTTAAAGCTCAAACTTAAATTATGTATCAAAATGAAATTATACTCTCCCGCCGTTCCACGCGATCCAGCACCGATGGGGTCCCCACGTCCCGGGGATTAATTTATGAAACTTATGCCGTCCTAAGACGAGCTTAAATCTTCTTTTCACGCTCGGTGTGCCCTCGCGGCGAGTGTCGTGTCTCGTTGTTATCTTAACGGCTGCCATGGCCGCTAACGAGAATACAGACTGTTCGTTATCTCGGTGGCGAGAGCACGCGCAGGCACTCGGTGCAATACTCCTATTTTATACGGGGTGTTCCAGGAAGAAAGGTCAATATTCTGGGAGGTGATAGTATCGGTCATTTTAAGCAAAAATGTCCATATAAATATATGTCCCATTCCCCACTGTTTCCGAGATAGAGCTATTTGTATGTAGCAAAATTACTTTTTTTGACCGCTACTGTAAATTCAGACAAGTCCTGCGTCCTGCGAATCTATCGAAATACTACCTAAATCTTCGCGTTACCTTTATTTCTTAACAGACCGATCGTTTCATGTAATAACATCCAGAGAAACGTTCAACTCTTATTGTTAGCCGTAAAACGTGATTCAAAGTCGATCAGACGGTAACATGTGTTCCCCCCCCCCCCCTAAAATAATCTTCCCGTTTCATATACTCGGAGAAGTAACAAAATATTTCGTAACACTTGTCGACAAGCGGAGATTATATCTAACGCCTTTGAATGGCGTGCATAAAATTTTCATCGCACGTTTATGCGCGTACGTCTCTTTTACCAACTGGTCTTCGCGGCGAGCATGAATGCCGGATAGTTAAAAATGTTGCAGGCCGTAAAGAGTTAATTAATCTCGCGACTCTCAACTCGACGTGCGAGTCCTCGTTTGAGAACGCGCGCGCGCGCGCGCGTTGTCGACATGCATAGTTAATCGCGCGAGACTCGCCCGCCACGCGCGAGCACCTACGAAGATGAACCTCGCGAAAATTCTCGCGGTCGTAAAGAGACGCGTTGCGTAAATACTCGAGCGTGTACGATGGGTGGTCCATTAGAGACACAAGGTCCGTCGTGCTGCAGCGCGGCGGTTGCGTCACGTTGAAAAATCGCGATAAACGCATTACAACAAATTGAACGGATAGGAGGAGGAATTTGCGGAGCTGCCGGACTCGTCGCGTCTCGCCTCGAGCTCCGACTTTCGTGTTTCGGACGGATTCCTGATTTATCGCGCGCGGCCACGGCATCCGATATCCTTGCGTCGCGGTAAATCGACGTCGGGCGACGGCCCCGCCGTGTAGCTACGGGCGGCAAGGGACGCGGACGCTCGCTCACGTATAGCATTCACCACGATGCATCGACGCCGCGCTTTCTCACACCGGGAGATCGTTATCCCCGCGGCGGTCCGCGAGGCTAGACAAACGTACATAAATTGAATGCACCGAGATTAGGGGGTTGCTCAGCTGGTAACCACTTTGTAGCAGTACCACGGAGGGACTGAGACGAATGGTAATGGCATCTCCAGGTCTCTCTGCCGACAGCGTCGCGCGGCTGGGAAGACCCGCGCTGACCCGATCGGAGGAGCCGTCGCGTTGTCGTCTCTCGGTTTTCTCCCTTCGCCGCTTCGATCAGCCGCGGATTCGCAATAAAGCGTCCCGGATCGGACTCGCATGGCGCACCCGGAACAAATTTCCCTCGACTTTTGACCTCGCTAGACTTTCATTTGATTTCAAAGAAATGATTTACCTTAAATCAAAACTTTGTTTGACTGAGAAATCTGGATGGAATCCCTAACAGCGAATTCGATTGCTTGCACTAGCGCGCACTGAGTGCACACTAAGGCGTATTTGTAGACAATTTTTATATTTAACTTTGTCTTAGATACACGTTCAAAGAGTGTTTAGTCAAGAAATGATCCGCGGATGCTATACAGATCGTTTTACTGGCTACGGAATGTTCCAAGAGATATTTAAGACGATCCTCAAATATAAGAATTGACTGTGAACAAGCCTTAGTGTGCACTCAGTGCGCCCTAGTGCAAGCAATCGAATTCGCTATAAGGAAATTCACATCTATTTCTTCACATCTAGCATACGTTTTAGTAGAAGTAAATAAAAATTTAGCAGATTCAAAGAAACATGACTTCAAAATATCTCATTTGTTTAACCTAAATAAATCTTTTTTCTGGGGGGTGAGCGCCGAAAATTCGGGGACTGCATATAATTCGTTTGGTAAAAGTTCTCGGTTAAAAGATGCGGTGAATGATACACGACGGGGAAACATACTCGCGATATTTCTTCTCGTTTCTGTAAAATCGCATCAGAGTGCTCTCAGATATATCATTTAATAAGACTGAAACGCTTATTAGTAAGATCCATCACCGTTTGACGATGAATTCTTATCCGCGCTCTTCTTCTCGCGAGAGGTACTCGAGTATTCTCGATTATCAACTTGAGTGTTTTCTTTGCCATATCTGGCATTTTTAATAATACAGAAAATTTATTGCGAAAAATATTACCTCAGCCAGGAGTCGAACCTGGACTTCCCTACTCTCTAGGCGGGCGCCTCACCAATTCGACCACTGAGGCATGTAACGAATTAGTGAGACGCCCGCCTAGAGAGTAGAAAAGTCCAGGTTCGAACCCTGGCCGAGGTAATATCTTTCGCAATAAATTCTCTGTATTGAAACACTGGCCGGTTAATGTCGACTAAAACGCTTGATTATTGTTATCTATCACTGGCAACTTAAAGAGATTTCTACGTTTATTCTCGATTATCGTTCTCTCTCTCTCTCTTTCTCGCAGAGATCGCGCTTTCGAATCGAAAGCGAATCGTTAGGCGCGATAGAGAGAGAGAACCCCACATGACCCGCGGGATCGTCTAATTAGCCCGGCTGCGCGTTATTAGCGCTCTAACGCGCGTACATTGAGACGCGTGAAGAATTAGAAATCCTACACGCCATTATCGTCGCTTACCAGTCCCGCGCGCGGGACGACGGCAAGTTCGCCGTGGCACTTCCGTAATTAAGCGTGCCACGGGGTAATCGCGCCGGGGTTATTCTGACGCGAGAGGCGTAATTGCCCCGCGCGTCGCCGAGGTGTCTTTGTTGGATTTACATGTAATTGCCGGGCCGCGGGGGCACTTACGTTTGCAGGCCTTGCGATGCGTGATCGGTCTCGCCGGGTCCCTGTAGTAACCTTCGCGGCAGTAATGACAGTGCCTTCCTGCCGTAAAATGCCGGCACTGCAGACAAACGCCTCCGCTGACACGGCCCGACAGCTTGTACAGCTCCATGTTGAATCTGCACTTTCTCGCGTGGAGGTTGCAGTTGCACACTGAAACAGGTAACACGGTAATTTCAGTCAGCGAGCGACAACCGAGGCGCGCCATTATTTTACGACTACCATTTCCTTTAATTCCACCCTATCTCGCTCGCACACGCGCGATTTCCTTACCTCTCCGTCCCTTTTAGCCGCGCCGTTAGTGCCGATATTGTTGTCATTAAAATGCCGTTTAGTCGCGATTCAAGTTCAACGCGGCCGTAATTATTTTGCTGAGAGGGAGAGAGAGAGAGAGAGAAAAATGAGACGTATCTTTCATTATCATTTAATCTGCGTTGCGTGCGGAAATAATAGCCTTTAAAATACACATTTTCACCCTTTCCTCGAGGCGAAGATGCGAAGGAGGTCAGTATTTCACAGTTATTTACGCAGGATATTTTCAGACGTACCGAGAAAATATCATTATAAAAATAATACAGTTTACAGTCTTACATTTGCATTTACATGGCTCTCTGCGTGAAAATGCGGAGAATACATTCTGGGTAATTTGATTTTAAATACGCGTGGCTTATGTGGAACATATGAAATTCGCTTTTAGTGAAAATGACACGTGCATAATTTCCTTTTCCTTTATTCTCGAAGTATATACACACATATATATATATATATATATATAGCGTGAGAGACCAGTAAAAAAATTACAATAAGCTGAATTAAAAAGACGACAGATTACTAAGAATTTTTCTATAAAAATCTCAACAGAGAGAGGGAGGTATCGTTTACTTCTTCCTTGAAGTGATTGATCTCACTTAATCTTCTCTCGCGCAAATAGAAACTCCATTTCACGTATTCGCACATACATTGTAGGTTTGCTCGCGCAATTATTAGCGATTACTTAGAGAAGCGTCTGTAATAAGTAAACATATTACACGTTGATGGAAAATTGATTAATGCGCGACGACCGCTCGGCTAAATCGCAGCGTTCCTTCATCGGATATTCATCTCGCCAGCACCGGAGCCGGCATTGCTCAAATGCCATCTATTCTACTTTAATTACGCATTGCTGTAGAGTAATAAACGTTGCGTCCCGCCCAACCGACGTACAAGTGCGACGCGAATACATATTATCTCGCCAGCAACTACGAGCAGATATTTCAGGCATTCCTCTGATTGAAGCATCGAGCGTGGCGCGCAGCCTCCACTCGTTAATATTACGGAGCTTCATCGTGGAACGCACAACGGAGCGTGCCGGGGCTCCTTCTGTACTTATCGCGGTAATTAGTCTCGAGTTTATTCATCCGGCCGGAGGAAGGAAGGCGTCTCGAGGGGGTCGTCTTCGTTATCGGACGACGGTCCTCGACTTCTCCCGTCGTTCTCGATCCGCCTCGCCTAGCATTGCCAACCTGACCCGACAGGGGAAGTTCGGTAGCCCGTAATTCGAAAAATTTGAAACTTCGCAGCTTCAACTTTTACAGGGAATTTTCGTCGCAAGAAAGGCTCAACAATCCGGAAATAAAATGAAATGTTTGCACACAAGTTTACACACAGGGTAGATAACGTTAATAAAGTTGTATACGCAGGTAAAGGAATTGAATTCGAATTCAGAACAAGTTTTCGTTGTGGTTGAAAAATAATTTTGTGCGTTCATCCATCGAAACCATGACATTTTAGCTGTGAGAAGACACACGCTCGGGATAAGCTATTCTAGTTTTCGTACGTTTAAACACTTTGCTCGTTGAATTTTCCTTGAATAGAGCTCGATGGATCTGTCATAAAATTTCGATAGCTAGAAAAAGGAGTGAATCTTTTGTGTATTATTCCGGTACGAAAAAATCGCGAGGCAATTGCAACCGGCCAATCCGTCGGTCCATCGATATATCAATGACAAATAACAGAATTTAATAAACGTCAAAGTTCTCGCTATTGTATGAAGATGTATTGACTACTGTTGACTAAGTATAACAAAGTGTCTATAAAGAATCCCAGAATTTTGCATTGTAAATAAAAGTAATACGCCCCAAATTAAAAGTTTTAGAACAAGCTGCACAGATTAAATGTTTCCCTTGAATGCACCGCTTCTTCTGAAAAACAATTTTAAATAACAAATTATTAAAAGATCTCTTATTGCCCGAGCAATAAATTATTACGCAGATATTTTCTCGAAAACGTAATTACGTTTAAGAAAGGCACTAATGCGATTATAAGGATACTTTAAGAATGCTTTATCCTCAGCATCTCGGCTGATGTTAAAACGATAAACTATCCCATATAACTTTTTACCGCCTTGCGTTCCTCCCGATCGAGTTTCATGTCTTCAGTTTATTTCCAAGTTTTCACCAAGCAATTGGAGTTCTCATTTTTACCATCCGTTTATGTACTACCCTCTGAAAGGTCGGACAATTTCGGTAAATGCAATTGAAGAGATGTTATCAACGTTGGTATCATTGTTCCGATGATTTCACCCCTTCCCCCCGCGCATCGATCGCTCGCCCATTGAGCTCTCGAGAAGCTCAGGGGAGCCGCGCTACTCCGGCTAGAGTCGTGCCTGTAACTTTCTCTACTCGAGCACGCCACCCGTGTTCCTTGCGACAGCTTGAAAACATAACAGAATAATGGAAAGCGCAAGGGGGAACGGTGTGCAACGGTGAATGCCAGGGGTGGAATCAATGGGGGAAGCTCGCGGTTTGATCCATCCCCCCGCGCACTCGTGGATTCTCTCGACCTAATAATCCCGTGTGTCGAACCGGGAGGAGCGGGCCTTACTTTATTTTTTGCTCGCGATACTCGTTATCGCGACTCGGTTTTCTCCCGCTGCCTCGGCGCGCGTTTTGCCCTCCTCCTTCTCCCTCGCACGGATGCTGACTTATACAGATTAGTTCTTCGCTGTCATAATTTATATCCCTTCGCAAATTAGCGCTGCACTTTAATCGATTGACCGGCGGTGGCGTGAAAAATAGGCTCTGTTTTAATTTGGGATGCAGCACGTGTATAATTAACACTGGTATACTTTAGCAATTGAAAATGAACATTATTCATAAGAAAGACGATTGTGCAATAATTCTGTATAAAGTGGAATAAATGCGAAAATAATTAAGTATACAGGATAGCCACGAGATTAAAGAATAAAAGGAACAACGTTTATTTATTAATAATAACGTTTATAACCGATATTACAATATGGTTACAAAATTACGCAAGGAATGAAAAAGTTAGAATAAAAGGATGTCAAAGATGTCCATTCGACATGAGTTGTTGTTGTTGCAATTTCGCGTTAAACAAACTGACGTTGATTGAAACTCAAGATACGAACGAGATATTGCTTCCGGACAAATCATCAGGAGTGGATACTCGTTTCGTTCAATCATGATTCAGTTTATAGTCCTGTGTACTCTTCGGTATATTTGTTACCGGAACTTTCGTCGACTCTTTGTCGGAAATGAAATACGGTGGTTTATTGGAAAAACTGATATGTGTGTATTTTTAAATTTCCAACGCATACGATCTTCTTTTTTCCAGGGTGCTTTTTGTTAATTCTGTTTTTTTCCCCTACGGGTCCGAGCACAAAGCAACGTGATAGCTTACGACAAAGACGTAAGCGTGAAGCTTGTGCGCTATCTACGTTTACGCTTGCGTCTTTGTCGTAAGCTATTACGTTGCTTTGCCCTCTGACCCTAAGACATACAATTTTTCATGCAATTTTTCATTGTCGTTTTTATGCAAAATATCGCCCTACTTTCTGACATAATGGCTTTCGGCCAATTACAATCATATTAATGAATCAGCGATAGAACACTGTTATGATGCTTTACAAATATATAAAAGCTGTACGCAAGTTTATTAAGCTCAAGATCGATAGTATTTTCTTATTGCTTTCATTGCTCGCCAGCGAGAATCTCGGCTGGTGATTTATGGGAACTCGGTTTGCGCGAAGCGCAGAATTTGATCGATGGATAAGAATGTTGTTGAATCCAAGTTGGCCGCTATGCATCGGGTCGATCGGATAACCCCTCGATAGTTAATAACCACCGTCAGCCACCGTCTGAAATTCCACGATCGGTTCCTGTTATTAAGTCGTAGCCACGTCAGAACCTCGAGTCGTTTTCGTGGAGATGATCGCCGTAATTAGCGATTAATCGAAGTGGTATCGGCGAGTCCTGCGGCGTTTACCGCCGGCATTTAAGAGCGAATTAGTGTTTTCGGATCTACGTCGATATTAATTAGCTCTGACTGTATCCCACGATTTATAATAGTCGAGTTGCAGCTCCTTTTTGTGGCGCCCCTCATAAATCAATACATCCCCGGGGAAAAATAAGGTGTTACTAAAGCAAACAGTGAAACTCTACCCTAGTAAATCTCTCAAGTAAATTAGTTCTTTGCGGAATATCTGTGATTAAATGAAATTTAGTGGTACTTTATTCTTCACTCAAATAATACTTGCGCGGAAAATATTAGACACTTTCTCTGAAAATGTAATTATAGTTTATTCATATATAATCTTACTGATATTTGTGTTAAGAATGTTGTTAATATTGAGGTTAACAATATGATTTTGAACGAAAATGATAAACACATAAAAAGCGAGAATAAATGTTTAAATTGATAAAGAAATTGTATAAAATTAAGATATTTCTCTTGAAAAATAATGACAACTTTGAGAAGTTTCACTCTTTCCTCTAAAATACGTGATCTTTGTGATTCATCTTTGTTTGTCAAAAGGAGATGAGCATTTCTTTTTAGAAAAGAAATTTGTCGTAAAGTTTTTTTGGAACAATATCGACATCGGAATATCTCAACTTTCACGTTACTTTCTTTTATTCTGCTACCGGATACCTACGTTCAAACTTTTAGTACTTTTTGATCTTTTCCTATCGCGCCTGTATCGTCCATTTCTAAACTTCGGAATGTGTAAAACTTGTTCTCGAGCGTTTCATTTTAACGAAAAAAGGTGCGTCTTTCCCGAATTCCATTCGGAGAGGAAATAGCAAGCTTGTTCTCAAGTGATAATCTCTCGTCCCGACAAGAAAAAATATGGCAAAACACTGAAACCCTCATAG